CCTCCAAAGGTGCTGCCTGCTCTTGTGGCTCCTTGAGTGGACTGAGCCCTCAGCTCCTCTCTCTGCTTCCTGTCCAGATGGCAGGACTCTGGCCCTGGGCCAGGAGAGGCATAGTATCTTTGCATATAGTAAGTACTGAATGAATGCTTTTTAAAAATCCGAAATCATACGAACCAAGGGATATTGACAGTGCTGGGCCCCAAATGGCTATTGTTTTCTTAAAGGTTTTAAGACCGTGCATTATACTGTGGTTTACTCAGGTTCTTTTCCAGCCATCTGCCTGGGTCAGTTGGTTTGTGTCTCTCTGTCTTCCTCTCCCTCCCTCTCCTAAGAGGGCTTTTAATATGTGATTATGGTTTGCCTATTTTTTTGGATAAGAATCTACTAGTCTCTAGTGCATTAGCCGTGGGGCCTCTCCCACAGCGGAATATTCGATATTAGGGATCATGGAAGAGTCAGCATGCTAAAATGTTTGCATACATATGGATTTCCAGAAAGTATCTTTATCAACAGGGCATACCTGTCTATGACCTTTGACTTTCTTCTTTTATTGGCATCACTTGGATGAGACTTAATTTCCCTGTTGGGCTTGATGCTGAGCTGTTTTTCTACATGTGTCATGTTTGGTACTTTCTTGCTGGCAGGAGCCATTGCCTTTGTTTATCTGATGCTTCCCTGTTTTGGTTTTCCCCGGGCTTTCCAGTTCTTGGAGCACTCTTTTGTCAGCAGATATAGTTTTATTTCCAGTTTTTAAACTCTAATTGAAATGTAGCTGAACTTAAATATAATAGAAGTAGGGGACATAAAATAAATCAGAGTCATGGAGGCATGGAGGAAAGTGAAAGGAATCCACCGTGACTCTGGTGTGTTTCTAAGTACACATATGCCTCAGCTGTAAGTGAGGGGCTTCCTGAGTAGCTGACTGAAAACTATCCTCTCAAATAATTAGAGGTGTCATTCACTTGGATAAAAAATAGGACCCCAAAATATAGTAAATTCATGCCTAAAAAATGTAGCAAACAATAAGTAATATAATAGGGTAATATTCTGCTTAAAGGAAACTGCAGAATAAAATTTCTAGAACTAATAATTCCAGACACTATCCAGAACACCAGCTCCAAGGCTGCTGCTTTCTGGTAATTTCTGGCTTCTCTTTCGGTCCTCAAAGTGGCTTAAGTACCATTTTCAGTCACACAATTTCCCCTTTATTGTAATTTCCTGTGCACTTTCTTTGCTAAGTGGATCTTTTGTTACTGTTCAGCAATACATTTTTCTTTGTGTAGAAGCAAGCATTCTCTTCCCAAACCTGATGCTTAGCAAGGCTGGGAAGGTGAGGTATTGGCAGTGGCCCCAGGTTCCCACCTTGTGTGGCAGACGTGCTCTCCAGAGGTACAAGCCACTGTTCAGTATCTGGGCCTTGTAACCTCTAAGTTGCTTCCCCAAGTCAGGATGTTAAACATTAGTTAGCAAGTCCCTAAAAGTTGCCTCAAACATCATCTTTAATGCATTTGACTAAATTTGCATAATTTTTCTTCATCAACACAATAATTGTTATAAATGTTGTAGAACTTTCATTAACTTATAATTGTCACATCTAAATTTTAAGATACAGATAAGATTTAACTATTTTCGTACCCATGTATAAACAAGTGAAATAAAGGTATTTATATTTCAATTAAGAAATCTAATCAGAAGTTTCCACAATCCTTCATTTTGGGGTGGTTCCAAAGATGTAACTTCACTTATTTCTTGCCATTTCTGGTGATTAGCCTAGAAGCCCTAGGTGGAACACATAGATCATTCCTGGCCTGTCCACAGCTCAGTATGAACGACCAGATACAGTCAGAGATTAGAAATTATCATCATGGATGTTTCATTTAAAACATTTTTTAGATCTCAAGGTTCATCCATGTTACATAAATTTAAAAATAAAAAATAAATTTTTTCAGAGTCAGTGTCTTGCTGTGTTGCTCACGCTGGACTCAAACTCCTAGGCTCAAGCAATCTTCCTGCCTCAGCCTGAGTAGCTGCAACTACAGGGACCTGGCAAGCATCACAGATATTTTTTTAAAAATTTAGCCTTTTAATTTTAGGAACTTTCTATTTATAATGGTTTTTAGTTTGGGGGGGCCTGTGAATAATGGCCTTGCTTTTGTATCTCTACTTGTGGTGTTGTTCCAGTCTGGGAACAGGAAGCGGCTGACTCCATCGGATGCCTGTTTGCTGTCTGCCTTCAGTCAGTGTAGTGTGGTCCATGTTTGATGTTGGCAGTCGTCCTCTTGGCCACTTATTTCTCCTGATTCTCTGCATTTAGTTTAAAATGTTACCTCCTCAAACTTAGCTTTTGATTGGCTTCTAGTATCTTTACTCCTGTCTACTTTTAATTTTCCTATTAAAATACTTACAGTGATATGAAATGCTTTGGATGTAAGTATGGATAGACAGAATTGTGCTGCGTCAGGCTGAGTGTGGTAGCCATTGTTTCCATGTTGGTGGCAGGGGTGAGGAGTGGTTACCAAGCTGTGGGTGATGGGAGAGGGATCTCGATGTCTCACCCCCTTTAACTTTTTTTTTTCACTAAAAATTTGTTTTGATCATTTTCTTATTGAGATAAAATTCACATAACATAAAAGTCATCATTTAAACTATTTAAAGTGTACAGTTCAGTGTCTTTGTGTAAATTCACAAGGTTACGCAACCATTACCGCTGTCTAATTATAGAACATTTCATCACCCCAAAAAGAAACCCCAAAGCCACTAAGCGCTCCCCATTCTTCCCTTGCCCCAGCCTCTGGCAACCACTAATCTCCTTTCTCTGTCTATGCATTTGCCTATTCTGGACATTTCATATATTTGGAATCATAACATGTGGCCTTTTGTTTCTGACTTATCTCTTAGCATAATGTTTGCAAGATTTATCCATGTTGTGGCATATGTCAGTACTTAATTCCTTTTTATGGTTAAGTAATATTTTAATTTGTGGATACACCACATTTTGTTTATCCATTCACCAGATGATGGATGTTTGGGCTGTTTCTACTTTTGGGCTATTATGAATAATGCTGCTGTGAACATTTGTGTACAAGTTTTTGTGTGAACATATGTTTTCATTTCTCTTGGGTATATACGTAGGAATGAGTTTCTGGCTCATGGTCATTCTATGTTTAATTTTTTGAGCTGCCAGACTGTTTCCACAACAGCTGTACCATTTTACATTCCCACCAGCAATGTATGAAGTTTCCAGTTTCTCCAGATCCTCGCCGACACTTGTAATTTTACTTTTTTGTTATTGTTTTAGCCATCCTAGTAGCTGTGAAGTGGTTATGGTGGGTTTTTTGTAACAGTAATTTTTTAAAAAATTGAGGCACAATGTACATAACATAAAATTAACCATTTT